ATGAACAAAACAGCTTTTAAATGTTGCGTGTCTGCCTCTTCTCTTCCCCAACTAAAATTAGCTCTAAAACTCTGACTTCCAGTTCTAATGGGATCTGATGTGTCCTAGGGCCCAGATCTATGCACAAGAGCGGCTTTACACACATGAATAGTCCCTGGAGTTCAATCATGTGCAAAAAGCTATTTGTGTGCCCAAGTCCTTGTGGAATCAGGGCCATAGACTAACTTGCTTCGTTTAGCTGTCAACACAGCGGTCTCCGGTTTGCCTAGCAATTATTTCTTTGTCATCTGATGCAGAGGTTAGGTGCTCTTTGATACTGTTCGTTCAGCTTTCCCCTCCTCTGTGTGCTGCAGTGCCCAAAAGGGATATGTGGATCCCTTAATCAGATATGATATTGACGTTAGCTGTCACTGTGTACGATACCTAGATACGTTCAATCTCACAAGCGTTTGTGAGTGCTCTTTTTGGGATAGCTACTGGGTCATTCCAGTGCCTGGAGGATGCTTGAAGGAAGACTGTTACAATAAGAAACAGTGATTAAAAATAGTTTTTGTCCACACTCACTGATGGTCCTAGCGTGAACAATCAGGCTTAGCGTGGGAGGGATCTCCCTCAGCCAAGAGAGAGAGACTTAGAAATCATCTGACAGAGAGGTGAGGGAGGTCACACGTCACCCTCTGCCTGTGGATCCTCTCACGTTTCATGTTGGCTGTGCTGCAAAATCAGATTATCCCAGGAAAAAGAGTTTTCAATATACTTTTCTTCCCTGGATAATGTATCAGTCAACTTCCACACTTCAGTCCCAATGATTTGTGTGGTTGCGCTGTGCTTGGGGTTTTCACCGGTGAGAGCAGAATGTTGAAGTCTCAACCGAAGCCAAGAATAAACTCTCAGAATTAGAAATGGTGCAATGAGGCTCTGGACAGAAGGTCTGACAGAAGGGCTCTTTCTAGGGGCTATCTTTAGCCTGGCGATGCTACGATCTTGAGTCTCACTGTAGTCAACTTGCATTGGCAACAAGTAATTGAGGGCAGGAACCTAACATCGTGCATCATGCATGCAACGCATCACTTTCCAGGAGGAGCCTGTCTTTCTGCCCTGGTTTACAGAGGGGATGTTGTGCTAAGACCTATTTGTCGGCTCTTTGCTAATTCTGCAGTATTATCACTCCGGCGTCTTATCCCAAACCATGCCAGAGGATCTACGGAAGGATGCTGCCCCAGGTGAGGAACCCCTCACCCCAACCAGGCAGCAGTGTTAGCTTCACAAAGAGAATGGCAGGGACAGCCGTGGTGCCGGTGCTGGTTCCTGGGCCTTTCTACGTCGCTCTGCAGAACAGAGCCTGCCAAGCTCTTTGTTCCTCCACAGAGCTTTGCTATGCTAATGACATGGTTGGCAAGAGTACTTGTTTTTAATTTCATGACCCTTGTAGCCCTAGAGCAGGACCAAAATTATTAAGCAGAGAAGACGATAATGTTCTTTTAGGCCTGGACATTGTCATCTGAGCTGTGTAATCATAGCACATTCGCTGCAGCAGGACTTGGTCCAGCAGTGTGGGTCTCCCACCCCACCCTGGGCAGGTTGTAGGTCCTGGTTTTATAGCACACCACAGAGTACTACCTCAGAACGATGTTCTTTAAGTCTGAGAGGTTTTATATAAAAAGTGCAGAGTAGCTGTGAAAAACTTTTTTTGAGAAGTGTGAGACGGTTATTGATTAAAGCCATAAAACCGAAATGAAATACATTAAAATGGTTAACATTCACATTCATTCTAAGAAGGAAAAGCACTGTAACGGAGCTACATGGCGTATTTAAACAATGCTTTTCTACGGTATGCCAACACTGGGTTAGCTTTGCCCTTCCCAGAACCAGATCGCACCTGCCTGTGCTTCGCAAGCCCTGCAATCAAAAGCTTACCAGCAAGTAAGAGACCCGCACACGATGTCCCAGAAGACTCAGTCTCTGTACAAGCTAAAGAGTATCTACCTCCATCCCGGTTCCTCTGGCACCGCTGACCGGTGGGACTGAGAATCCAAAGCTAAACAAACGTTTGGGTGCAGGATTATGGAAAGAGAAGGTCTGCAGCACCAAGCACGATGCAGCCTACATGCCCGCTTCTCTCTGCAGGAACCTGTTTGCAGCATCCTAACGCCTTCTTAAAGCCACCAGTCTCCTCAAATATATAAAACAAATATGAAAGTGGAGTAGATCCCTTTCTTCTCATCCAACGTGCCCGAGGCTGTCCTCAGCTTCGCCTCCAAAAAGCGAAGCCTAGCTCTAAACCACAGGAGGCTTAAAATTTTGTGAGGCATCACCCTGCCAGTTCTGGCATTGAGGCAGCCCACCGTGGCACAGCCTAACCTTTTCCCCCACTACTCTCTGTTTTGCCCTCACACTATTTTTTTCCCCCAGTCCTCTCAGCTTTGGCTCTGGTGTGCCAGAAAGGGCACACGCTGTGTTTATATGAACCCTCTGTCACCTGGCAGCAGCCATCAAATGTGTGCGTGGCAGAGGAATTTCTCATCCTGTCCTCCATGGGGTAGAAAAGCACTGAAATTATACTTTGCTTATTCTTTTCTTCAGCTGCCAAAGCCAAAATAAACTTTGGGAAAGAAGTAGCTCAGAAGTATAAACAGAATAATTGAAAAATACTTTTCTTTCTTTTAGCAAAAACAGTCTCAAGCAGTATAAAAGCCCAAGGACTGCCGTGCTCCGCGGTGCCAATAGCAGCTCAGGTGTACCGTCAGCCGCCTGCGCTCCAGACCCCTCTGACAGTGCCACCCTCGCTCCCGAGTAGTAAAAATCAAGGCCTCTCTCAAAAGGCCAGCTCCAGACAGCAGCTAAACCCCCCCTAAGCCCTAAGAACAACTGAAGGAACAAGGGGAAAGAAATAAAGGATTATTTCAAACCCCGGGATTTTCTAAGTGGAAGCAGCACCTGGCTGAAGTCCCAGCGTTAACCAGCCCAGAGCAGGTGACGGGAGTAGCTGTGTCCTGCGAGAGCCACGCAGGACCCAAACAACCCTCAGCGAGCAAATTAAATGACACTTGACAAACATATTCAAAGCTGCTGGCCGTTTTTTGGATCGTTTTTGCAAAGCTCAGCACACGGTCTTAAGAGACTGAAATACCTCAGTAATCATGAACTAACACACGCCGAAGCTCAGCCCGTGCTCAGAGGGAACTGGTCGTCTCCAGAAACTGGAGGGGACTCACAATTAAGTGCAAGGGTGTACTTGCCTGGTAGTGTCTCCTCCTGCAGAGATTGGGGCTTTTTCTGTTGATTCTTTGCTAAGTGTGATGCTGCACCCTGCACGTGTCATCCCGAATGTGTTTGGGAATAACAGTACTTCTCTAAAGAAAGAGGGGAACTGCAGGGCTGGAACCCACTGGCTATTTTGCTCCCACAGCATTACACATAACAGCCGATTTTAGGTAGGGAGTTGGTGTTGGCCAGACTCCAACTTCTCATTCTGCAAAGGACTTTGGCGATAGAGCTACAGTGTCATCGGTTATGCAAAACTTGGTGTGTGTGTGTGTGTGTGTGTGTGTGTGTGTGTGATATCTCTGATTCTGAAGCAATGATTGGAACCAATTTAAAATCTCAGCTTGAGGTCTAAAGGAAGGGTCAGTATGCCTGCGAAGGCAGTCCAGCAAGATGCTGTCTGGGCTTTGGGAAGGATTCTCTGGTGCCGTGAGATAGTTGGCCTCCGCTGCGTTACTGATGGGAGTTTGAATGGCTCATGGAAGAAGGCAGACTCTCCAAAGAGGGAGTGATTCACTCTCCACACTGAGAGAATATGCCAGGCTAAGAGCATTTTACTCAAATCCAGCAAAAAAGAGATGAGCTGGGAGGTGGGTGGCAAGCAAATCACTGTTTCATCCAGTTGAAAAGTTAAACCCTAATGTTTCTCTTTTTGCTAGATATGTTATCTTCACTATTCTGCTGAGAATAATGCCTCTGTTATAAGCCCAGCTAAAGATTTCTGGCTTATCAAGTTCAAGGCAAAGAAGATATAGATTTGAAGAGCAGGAGTGGAAAGAAAACATACAGCTTTAATGTCAGAGCTTTGGAAATTGAGATACTTATCTAAGTCTGTTTTCTCCTTTCCTTGGTAATGTTACTTTGAATTTGGACAAGGAAACTAGCCTGGCCAACCTCACTTCTGTTTCTTCTCAGTTTCACTTTCTGAAAATTATATTGTCATAGCCGTACACTCAGATATGCATCTCACCGAGGACAGTATCACATTCAGAAGACATTTCCTGAGCCAGGAGATGATGATGAGAGAGACCTTTATCACTGCTGTCATTAAAGAGCATTGTCATCAGCGACCTGACAAACCTCGTCACGCTGGCGCTGATGATGGTGTCTCAGACACCACTGCAAATTTGCTTTGGAGCGTTACACCGGTGTAGAGCCCCGACGCCCGCAAAGCAAGCGGCTTGCTCTTTCGTGCAAATGCGGTGTTTGTGAATGGCACTTTGGAAAAAAACAGCAGGCTTTTGATTTGCTTTTAATATAGCAGATGCTTCACAGTTGTGAATCAAAGAGTTGCTCCCCAGAATTATTGTTTTCTCTTCTCCCCTTGATTAAAATGTAACCTATGAGCTCACATATCCAATTATTTCCCAAAGACCTGACTCCTTCCACTTTTGTACGTGTGTAAAATCCTTTTGAAACGAATCTGTTCTCCTAAAACTGCAATAATTCAGTAATAAAGCTAGCTCTAAATGAAAGGGGAGAAAGACTATTAGCAGAAATGCAGGTGCTCAACGGTAGAAAAGAAAGAGATGAATGCAGGAAGCTAAACACAAACTGAGGGGATCTCACACTAACTCCACGCTCAACTGAATTGCATCAGTACAAATGCAAGCTCTGTGTGGGCCCCCAAATTAGGAACTATTTACAAAACAAAAAGCTTGCCTCAACTGTATTGTGCCTGCTCTAACCATACTGAATAGCCCGTCTAATGACCATTTCTTCTTTATTTGGGTCAGGTCTTGCTCAGGAAGAATTTTTGGAGAAACCAACGCTCAGCATTGCTAAAGACCACAATGTCATCTTACCAGGAGACACCCTAAAAATAAAATGCAGGTAAGGATTGCTCCGGGGATGCTGGATTTCCTTGGATTTATTGATTATCTTGGCACAGCACAGCTTCAGGGCAGGGTAGAGCAACGACTGCTGCACGGCCAGATGGGAACCGGGGCTGTTTGCCCTCACGTGCATTTCTGCGTGGAGGAGAATTTGATGGGCTGTAACAGAGCAGGGAGGAAAGTCTCAGGTCAGCATTCAGCTTGGCCAGATTCTTTATGTTGCAAAGGGGCCAAAGTAAAATCCTGAGTCAGCACACGGGAAAGCTTATGGGAGGGGGATGTACCGTGCTTAAGGACCTGGCTGGAAAATCCTCATCTGAAAATAGGTTCAGATTCAGCTCCTTTGCAGCTAAAATCAATCTTTCGCTCTCTGTCCGTAAGTAAATGACAAACAAGATCACCGGGGCATGTCATCAGCTCTTCACATATATATAGATGAGCTTAAACTTCCTAACCTCAAATACCATCTAGCCTATAAGATGACAGTTAAATAAACAGCGGTTAGTATGTGTACGTTCAAAGACCTGACCTGTTTAAACATACCATATTCTTTAAATCAAAGATAACCGGGACTTGTAAAAAAAACCAGACTGCTGATATTGTGAATTATGGCAGCTCTTCAGTTCTTGGCACAACGCGTGAAAACTAGCCATGCAAGAAACAAGCAACATTTTGGTAATGATGTGCGTTTACAGGGAGATGATCCTCTGGAAATGGGGGCTATAGGGTTTGGTCACAGCTGACTGGCGCACAACTATATATAATACAAAGAGTCAGAGCACCTTCTGTTGTGCCAAACATCCATTAGTTTGCTCAGGCACACAAAAGACCTCAGACTGAGATGTGCGTATGTGTCGCTTGTTCTGAGTGTGATTTATACGCCAAAGTACTGCGAGAGGTTGTTTTTTAATTCCTTCCAAGAGCACTGTAGGAGAGAATGTCTCTGTCACACACACACATTATTTTTACACCTTCTTGCAAAGCGCCCTTGACTGTGGCCACTACATGGATGGTTTCTTGCAACAGTAAGAAATTTGAAGCAGTAAGAAAAAGCAGTGGGAAGGTGAATCTAAGCTGTAGCTTATGCTGACACATACCTCCCTTCAGATTTTGTCCTAGTCTGTTTAATTCATTGTTATAGTGAAAGATAAATTGACTCGTGTCAATTTGTGATGTCTTCTGGAGCGTAAGGCAGGTTTTTTCCAAACACCTCCAGCTAGCCGTGTGGCTTAGGAGGTCAAAACAACCTTACAGTGGTATTTTTAGCTCGGCAAGCAGCAAGCATGATGGCAATAAAGTTTAAACAGACTTTTAAAATCGAGATGCAGTGCTTCATAAAACAAGTTATGTGGACATGAGTTTGGTGTAGTGCTCCAGGCCAACTAAATCAATACTTTTCAGCAATTCTCCATCCGCTGCCTTTTCAATCTGTAGGAACGCCCTATTTTTCTCATATCACCAGATGAACAAATAGATGAAGGAATTCTTAGCACTTCAGTCCCAAATTACTTTATAGGATGCAAAGCAATAAATTCACACGACAGGTCTGAGAAGCAGAAAAGTCTGCTCGCGTGCTTCCGTGCTAGCATGGGAACAGAGGTCCCGAGCACTTCAGTTCCTTGACTCAGGTCACGCAAGAGCTGAGAATAGAAGCCAGAAGTAGGACTTTTGCACATCGAGTGCGAGATTCCCTCTATTAGGTCCTTTGCGGATGTCTGTCATCCTGCCTCCTCTCACACACCAGCATCCGTACACTCACAGATTAGCTCCGGACTGGCCCAAAGGGAGTTCTGAGGTCCTTCGTACTTCCAGGGGACATTAGGGCTGTGTGGGGCAGAGCACAAGACAGCAGACCGAGCCGGTTGCTGCTGAAGACTGCGGTAACTCTGTGTGAACGTCCCTTCTCCCTTTAACTCCATTCATTTGAGGTTCTCGGCCAGGATTTCCCAATTTTTGGCAGCCTAGCCAAAGCTACTGCTGTGACGCCCCTCCGCCCGATGCGCGAAAATACCGAAGCAATAGCCAAAGTCTTCATCTTCCACCCGGATAAAATATGCAGGAGGAAAAAGTAGGCACATGTAAGGAAGCACGGGCATCTGAAATCCCTGACCTGCTCTGCAGATCCACCGTCGCAGATTTCCAACCCTGATGGACACCAGACTGGGTGACGGTAGAGGGGCAGGGACATGATGACACGTTGGGAGTTGAGTCTGAATGTGAGGTGGCATTGTTCCATATCCCAGGCCAGGAGTCCCATTTCTTGACAGACGCGGTTATTACATCATTAATGACGTTAGTAAGGGAGGGAAGGAGCACTGGGTAGGGACCTCTGCATCAAAAAATACTTCAGTGCTCTGAAGGACGGGAAGTTGGTACAGCGGATGAGGTGGGGTTGTCCAAGTCAACAGTGCATCCAAAAACGAGGGTGAGGCTGTTCACTAGAGAGGATATTCACACTTTTCCCAGTGCTCTCATTCAGCTATGTGCTGGGAATAACCTCAAGAGTTCAGCCCCGTGTCCGCATCATCTTCAGGAAGGCGACAAAAGGACGGGCAGAAACGGGGGCCAAGAGGATGTTTGTTTAAGTGTCACTGAATTCGCTGGCAAATGCGTTCCCTTTTGCACCTATTGCACCGCTACAAAGCCACCAGCACAGAAAGCGCAGTTAGTTATTAGCTAACTGGAAACCTCACACAGCTTGCTTGTTAGATGCGTTTGGTACTAGAATCTCTATACTGAGTCGATGTGTCTAGACCGGATTTCTCCCTGGCGACGCTCAGTTGGGGAAATCCAGAGGTTCCTACTCCTTCCTCAGCTCAGCAAATGACATTGGGTCTATGGGAATTCACCGAGTGAGAAGGGGTGAGTCAACCCCCTGTCCTTTTAAAGAGTGGCTTCTCTCTCAAACACAGACAGACCAACCTGCCTCCCCCTAATACTAACTTCTTCCCAAGAAAAATCCACAGATGATTACCCCCAGATCCCACCAGTTTCCACATTGAGCGCCAAAACCCAGGCTGCTACAAAAAGACCATAATCTTCATCCCATGAGCATGTATAGCATGTCCTGCTACACCACTAGAGCCCTCAATGTGCAGCCCAAGCAGAAGAGAGCTCCAAGAGCTTCTGCTCCCATGGTGTAGCCTGATGTTTCCAGCACAATAGGACGAGCGCAAGCAGTGCCTGTTCTACTGTTAGATCAGTTGAAAGCTCTCTTTGAGTCCTGCAAGAGGTCATAAAAAGGCCTCGCTTTTTGTCGGCGAACTACACAGAATTGCATTTGACATCAGCTGTGATAGATAAGACAACAAACAGGTCAGGTCGGTGAAATGGTGTATCATCTGCCCTGCTAGCTCTATGTTCTGACTGCCATGACGGGGTGAATTGAAAAAAAAAAAAAGTGTATTGAGCAGATATTCTAAGATTTGTAATCTGATTAGTTCCAGACCCTTCACAAAAATCAAGATTGAGTCACTGCTGATTTGGCCAGAAAGGTGATGCAAAGTTACATAAATGTTTTTCTCTCTCCATGCAGCCTTAGTATAAGAAAATATAAGTTAATTTAGCTGTTAAAATATGCAAAGCCCTCAACTTGGAAGAAACATATAATTTTATCTGGTGCTTTCTAATGTTTGAAGTGGCTAAATTGTAAAAACAAACTCATGCTTAGGAAGTGTGTTACAATAAAAATGAAACTTTCCTTCAGGAGCTAGCTTGCTACAGTTCCCACAGATTATTTCAGGAATCTCCTCTGCTCTGGGGAAGAATGTGGGGTGATCCACCTCAGTTCCTTACGGGTGGAAACGCAAACCCGCAGCAACCTTTATCATTCATTTCCAAATGACAAGAGTAGGAACACCGGGAACATTGATAATGGCCAGAAGGAAGCCCAAATTTTGTCTGAAGTCATGACTCTTTTTTTAATTTTAGTGTGTTGTGTTGACAGGGGAGCATCTTCTGTGAGCTGGCTGTTGAGGGAGGACCAGAAGGAAGACCCTCGGGTGCACGTCAGTAATTGTCGCAATAACACAAGGCAAAGCTGCAGCATGCTTGTCATCAGGAAAGTCATAGCTAATGACACCGGCTACTTCACCTGCATTCGTGATGACGCCCCATCTACTGAGGATCTCATGGCCAGGATTTATGTGTTTGTTAAAGGTAAGAATTTCACTTTATTTTGTTGTTATGGCTTTTTGGTAATATAAGTTGTGTTCAACTGTGGGATCTGTGCCAGGCAGAACAGGCAATCAGATGCTTTCACAAATCTCACCTCCCCACTGGCCCTGCGCTGGAGCCATCACCAGCTTTGACAGTTTGAGGAGGCTGAATATATTTGGATTTTCATGCCAGCTGAATTCATGGGGACATAGATGTGAGAACCAGAAATTGCCCATCTTGTTCAATCCCAGGACTTGAAAACTAGACTGTCCCATCTGGTTTTGTGTTTCAATTAACTGATATGCTGATTTCTTTAAACCTCTTTTCCTTTTCTTTTTCTTTTAAGACTAAATTATTTTATCCTGAAGGATTTTGCTATCACAGTGCTTTTCCTAAGATTTATCCTGAATCCCCAAGTCCGTTCTCTTTTCCTTCCTCTTTTCAGGCATGAAACTCCCCAACAACATTCTTTGTAATTCCTCTCTCTCCTGAACATTTGTATACTGCTTTGTCCTTCTCATCAAACTTAGCAAAGCTGGATGACTGCACTACACGTGTTTTATTGTAAAAAATGGCCCATTGCTCATTTTTGTCCTCTTTGAGCAGCCTCTCCCAGTGTGTCGGAATCACTGAGTTCAGATCCAACAATAAACGGAAGCAGAAACTTCAGAGGAGTGGGGTCCTCTGTGACTAAGTGGATATAACAGACTAAACAACCATTTCGATAATACCCATTTTTGTTAGAAGAATGTTCCCCAAACTGCTGATATTTTTTTGAAATCTACTTGACAAATGCATTACTAAACCACTGAATCATCTTGGATCTTCCAAGCTGAGACTGTGAGTAGTCAGATAAAGGAGCTGACTTTTACTGTCTTGAATAGGGGATGACATGAACTCCGCTGGTGCTGAATAGGCTTACTATTTGGTTCCCCACAAACTCATGAAAACCGATTCATTTCATTTTTCTAGTAAATGCTAAAATATGATTCTTTGAATCCTTTTACTAAAACACATACTAGAAAGGCAATGAGTCTGTCTGATATTATTTGAATAGTTCAGCAAACTGATACAGAAAACACACATATTTGCTGGGCAGCTCTGACAGTCTCGTGGTATTGCTAATGATGGTGAAACCATCACGCGACGTCCATCCCAAGGGGACCGTGATGCGCCCACCTCAGCTAAATTCAACTTCTGCACTACTAGGTGAACACACCTGTTTGATTCAAGTGGATGACATTTTCCTGCCTCTTTCTGTCTGTTGAAACTAGTCCCTTTCTACCCTTATCCTGCTTTCCCAGCAAGTCTTCCTCTTATCGGAAAGCAGCTTTTTGGTGTTACTTGTTAGTTCCTGCAGTCATTTTTTTTCTCCTTTTCTATTTCCTTTTTCTGATTTGCTCTTGTTACTCCAAGCCCTGGTTGCTTTATCCACCCTAGTTCTTGTGCTGAGCTGTTTCCTTTTCTCATTACACGCTGCTCAGATGCCCCACATCTAATATTGTTAACCCAGCCCCATGCCTACGCTTCAGGAAACAGTGCATTGAGAACTCAATCCTCTATCCTGATTCAGTGCCCTGGCTGGCTACCCAGGCCTTCATTACTCTATGGCAGGAGCACGTGCAGGAAATGCTATGGATCTTTTGGGACCGCCTGAGCGTTTTCCCTAAGAAAATACCTCAAGTTATGAAATGCTTACCGGCGATGCACTTGGAACGGTGCTAATCTAAAAAAAAAAAGCAGGATGTCCTCTTGCTTGTCTGAGAGTGCTGCGCCAAGGCGCCCCTGATAAACACCACTGGATGGCTGTTTTCTCTAAATCACCCTCCAAGATTGTCCTCTCTCAGATGCCATTTCATTGTGTCATACACCCTCCCTGCTCTAAAAGCTCTTACTCAGACTTCTGTGCTTTAAAAGTTATTGATGGAGAAGTGGGTAGAAAATGAACCACCGTGTACTATGCACTCCATGGGTGAAGTAGTGAGAAAGGCAAGTCAGCGGGGATCCCTCCGGTCCGTGTCGTAGCGATCCAGCTGCTCATCCAGCCCAAAGCACAGCTCTGCCACGGCAGCTCAGTCTATAAGCTCGCAGGTGCCTGCTGGGATCTGGCCTGCCAGTCTGAGGAAGCTGCTTGGCCCCAGTGAAACGAAGCTATTTATACCCCGGCATGGATGCTGTCCTCAGGGCGCTCTCTTCCTCCCATTCAGTTCCTGTGTATATGTGTTGAAAGCCAGCAGGCTGTTTTAGGGACAAGAAAGCTGTTCTTCAGAACATTCAGAACGTACCTACGATTTTCTTCAATATTTAAACATGCCTTTTTAAGGTAATAGGCCCGCCAGTGTCTGGGCATCGCTGAGAAACCCATCAGTTGTCTCCAAGTGAAGCATCTCACAGTTCCCTGTGAGTGCCAGAGAAGGGTGAGGTCTAAAAGACATCTCTCCAGAGGTTTTGTAGAGAGAGCAAATGCTCAGCAGGGTGTTTATGAGACTGAGCCAGGTGGAGTGAGAAAATGTTGAGCCAGACCCCGAAGGCTGGAGATTCCTCTGAGGTTACGAGCCATTATTGCCAAAAAAGGAAGGGGAATGGTATTTTTTCCCTTCGTTCCCGGCCTGCTGCTTGACACCGAAATGAGAACATGATTGTATCGGAAGCTCTGCTTATTGGCTATTATTTCCTGTGCTTGCTTCTGTTTTTACAGCCTCCCTGGTGGAGTTTCTAAGCTCTGTCAGAATCTGGCATTCAGCAGCTCTCCCCCCCGGTGCAATTGAGCCGTGACCCCTGCACATCAGTCAGATCATAAGGGACCCGAAGGCGGCAGGGTCAGCCGCCATGCCTCAGCTGTGCGCTGACAGTCTGGAGGGAGGGAGAACTCAGGATCTCAATCCTGAATAATTGCTCCCGAGGCCTTTTCTGCTTCCCGCTGCAGCTGCGAGTCCCAAGGATCGTAATTAAGAAGCGAGACAACCCCCTTCTCCTGTTGCCCATCTCCTTGTTGAAAACACAACGTAGCTTAGGGCTGGAACAGAAATAGTTGGGCGTTTTTTAACCGCGTTGTTTAGCTTCATTGCAACTCCGAGGGATAACCTCTGCAGCGAAACGCAGCGCCTGGTCCAGCACGGTGCTGCAGCGCTGAACGGGAAGAGCAGCCAAGCAACGCCGTGGCTGCTGTCAGAGAAAAAGGTGAACGGGGGAAGCCCACCCTCAGTCCACAGAATACGCTGTCTCTGCCGAGCGAGTTCTGGACCAGTGGCAGTAAAGACAAGTCTTCCCTGCAAACTAGCTGCCCACGTAGGAGCCCACGTCAGAAAGACTCATGTGGACGGCATTGCCGCTGCAAACGCTGCCAAAGCCAGCTAGCCAATGTCATTTCCGTCTATCTATCTCCTGCAATTACCCTTCCCAACCAAATGGATACTTCCCTGTGAGGAACATACTCATTTATTTCACCCTTGGAGATCCCCGTGCCAAAGGAAAGGGCAGGCTGCCTATTTTGTGTTAAAGTATAGAGAGCCCTCTCTACAATGTTTCCTAAGGCACATTTAAAATTGAACATGGCTTAGAGAAGGTGGAAAAAAAAGACAGATCAAGCAAAGATTCACTCCACCTTCCCAAAGGGCTATCCCGGGCTACAGCCTAGACAGAAGTCAGGACTTGCAGCTCTCAGCTATTTGAAATACTGTTACTGTCAGCAAAGCGACATGACCTCTGTGGTCCTTCCATGGTCAGGGCAACTCGTGTCCCACAGCCTAAAAACTTGGTCAGCTTTTGCAGTGATTTCCCCTCGCGGTCCTTAGCTCTACGTAGCAGTAAGGGATTTGCTACACCTTTTTGTGCCGCTCAGTCAACCCATCAGTAGGAAGGAGCATGAGCTCAATTCTGTTTTGCTTCCCTCCATCAGCAACTCGTCTGGCATTATTACTGCGGTAACTGGAACCGGTCACGTCTTGCCAAATAGTGTCTAGAAAAGTTCATCCAAGTTTCCAAGCTGTGCTCTGATTCCTGTACACACACACCAGCAGCACTGCTTTGCTGGAACCGTAGGGCTAACGGAGGTAATCTCCTCATGGCAGACGCGGGGCGAGCAGGCCAGCCGCAGCCAGCCTCTATTAATTTTTATGCAAAGCAGGGCTGTCATTCTGTTTCTTGAAATAATTATGGCCATGACAGGGCTGGTTCTCAAATAACTATTTCAGAAAAAAACGAGTCCCACCTTCTCTGACCAAGAGACTGTAATTGGCACAAAACGATGTGTGTGAGCCCCGTACATCAGTGCTGACTGCCACGCAAGGGTCCATGGACACTGGGGGAGAATCATCCTGCTTGTGCCTAGTGCGGTTCACTCTTTGAACAAATAGATCGGTGGACATTTTAACAGGGTCTTCCCACCCAGAGCAATTCAGCTGCTGGTGTTTCACCATCTCAGTGCTACTGTGAGTTAGGAACAAGGCAGGACTGAAAGAGTAATTTGTTTCCATACATTTGGGTTTTAGCACTGGTGTTCGCAGGAACACAGCGTAACTAGAAGATAGCCCTGCAGAGAATCTGAGTTCTGGCTCCTTTTTAAGTTCATATGGACACCATGAAGCACCAGCATCGCAGGTTTGAGCCATAGAGCAGTCTGCCAGGAGTCCAGAGAATAAGAACTGGAAATCAAATCTGAAGCAAGACAGACTTTTATATGGGAGCACAAGACCTGTTAAGGCTGTTCTGAACAAAAAAGGGGGATGCATCCAAGCTGTTTGTCCTGTCAGAGCATGCATCTCACTGCTTGTCAGCTCCAGCAGCAAGGCACCCCCAAGGAAGCGTATGAGCTCTCCCTTGCTATTGCAAGGAAAGAGAATGAGAAGTGGTACAAGTTCTGCACCAGGGCAGAGCGTACCATCAAGCACAGTCTCTGCTTTATCAAACAGTACAGCCCAGAGACATGAAGTTCCATCTTCTTCATCCCTTCCCCACTAAGAAAAATCTAAAGAGGATGGAAGTGCATGAAAGCACCCCAC